AATCAGCAGACAGTAATGGATTCTTTTCCAGACATCCCTCCTCAAATATAGAAGGCCATAGGGATCAGAAACTGAAGTAAATAATGGTGAAGAAACCAAAGGAGCCAATTATGAAATAAGCAGTAGAAAGGAATTCATTTTCTTCAAAAAGACTCCAGAATGACAGATCACTACCATCTATTAAGGTTGTCAGATTTCATTTATAATTAATCCTATGTGCTTTTCTTTTCCCCAGCAGCTTTCATGGAAGATTCCTGCCCTGCTGTCGGTGGAGTGAATTGATTATTTTATTGCTCTAAGTTCACTGTCCTTCTAAAGATGGTGAAAACTCTTTTGATTCCCAGTCTTATCTCGAAACTGCTGAATATAGATAAGACGATCGTGGGAATCTCGTCCCCATTTATATATGTTTGAGGATAACATCGCCAAGAGATGTCCAAGTCATAAAATAATAACTTTGATCATCAAAAGGAGATAAGTATAATTTCTTATTCATGGTAGATGAAGAATTTATACTCCTGTTATAAAAAAAGGACCATAGTGAACTTTCTTTTCCACTGCTGTTAATCATTAACGATGAAATGATTAAGGAAGTTTGTAAAGAAACCAAGAGAAATCTACTGGGGCTTTTGACCTCGCAGGTGCAACAGCCATTCATACCTCTTCACTGAAATCTAGGAGTCAGGCAAAAGGCTAGGCAAATGGCTTGACAATGGCTTGACAATGTCACATCCCGAATAGACTACTGCAACGCACTCTACGTGGGGTTGCCCTTGAAGACTGTTCGGAAACTTCAACTAGTCCAACGAGCGGCAGCCAGATTGCTCACCGGAGCGACATACAGGGAGCATACCACCCCCCTGTTGTGCCAGCTCCACTGGCTGCCGATTCAGTTCCGAGCACAATTCAAGGTGCTGGTTTTGACCTACAAAACCCTGTACGGTTCCGGTCCAGTGTATCTGTCCGAACGTATCTCCCTCTACGTCCCACCCCGGAGTCTGAGATCATCTGGGGAGGCCCTGCTCTCGACCCCACCACTCTCACAAGTGAGGCTGGTGGGGACGAGGAGCAGGGCTTTCTCAGTGGTGGCTCCTCACCTGTGGAACTCACTCCCAGGGGAAATCAGGGCAGCACCATCCCTCCTCGCCTTCAGGAGGAGGGTGAAGACGTGGTTGTGGGACCAGGCCTTTGGGCACCTTGGCAATTAAATCAGACAATCAGGCGAGTAAGACCAGCAGGATTGATGAAATGGAATGGAAAATTAGATCTATGAGCGAAACGCTGACCATGTAAAAGGAGAAATTGGGTTTGTATTTGTTTTTATTGATTTTATTGATTTTATGGTAATTAATGCATGCACTTTTGTGAATTATATTATGATATGATGTAAGTTTATGTATGATTGTTTTATGATGCAGGCATCGAATGCTGCCTTTGCCTTTGTAAGGCCGCTCTGAGTCCCCTTCGGGGTGAGAAGGGCGGGGTAAAAGAACCCCAAATAAATAATAAATAAATTTTAGGCTGTGTCCCCTTGTTTTCCTGGAGAAAATATTTTAAGAGTGCAAAGCCCAATAATAGCAAGTAAACTTTAGTGAAACTTTTAGGAGAGTAATGGATCTTGTGCACCAGTTGCGCCCGTACTTTGGGAAGTCAGACTTGGCCATGGTGGTCCATGCTCTTGTTACATCCCGTATGCACTACAGCAACATGCTCTACGTGGGGTTGCCTTTGGAGACTGTTTGGAAGCTTCAGTTTGTCCAACGGGCAGCAGCCAGGTTGCTCATCAGAGCAGTGTACAAAGAGAGGACATCCCTCCTGTCGTGCCAGCTCCACCAGCCGCCAGTCTTCTATCAAGCGCAATTCAAAGTACTGGCTTTAGCCTATAAAGCCCTAAACAGTTTTGGCCCAGTTACCTGTCCAAATATATCTCCCCCTATGAACCACCTCAGAGATTAAGATTGCCTGGGAAGGCCCTGCTTTCAGTCCCACCTTCTTCGTAGGCACAACTGATGAGAATGAGAGACAAAGCCTTCTCAGTGGTGGTCCCTTAGCTGTGGAACTCTCTTTCCAGTGACATTAGACAGCCCCTTCCCTCCTGGCCTTCAGAAGGAAAGTTAAAATTTGTTTTTGGGATCAAGCTTTTAGAAAGTAGTGCAGTGCGATTACAGATATGGAATATGTGCAATGACTATGGAACGGCCTTGAACTACGATTATGGATGGCGTAGTTTTAATATTGGAATATAATGTTTTTAAATGTTTCATATGTATTAATTTTAATTGTAATGTTTATTGGAATTGTATGTGTTCTAAAGCATTGAATAATTGCCTATATGTAAGCTGGCTTGAGTCCCCGTCTGGGTAGAGAAAGGCAGGGAATAAATAGGGTAAATAAATAAATAATGGGTCTATTTTTGGCACCCTCCCCATATATGTATGGGTAAATAGATGGGAAGGTGGGGGCATTAAGGCTCACAGCCCTGGCTGGTGATCATGTGAACTGAGTTATTACCCCCAAAACACTTCCCCATAGGCTCATCAATGTATGAGGGGCTTTGATGGTAGATGCGCAGATGTTCCTTGAAGGCAGAAAACTTGAAAGCCATGGAAGCACTGCTTCAAATTTTGAAAAGAATAGTTTTTTGCACCACATCTCTCATAATCCTCTAGTGTGGATGACCACTGTGAATTCTGGATTCAAAAATAGTTTTTACAAACAGTATATTGGCAATGCAGCAGAAGTCATTAAAGGAAAGGCAGCAGTATCGACAGCTATTGGCGGATTTTACCTGTCAGTTAAAAAGTGCGCTATACTAATGGATGGAATATAAAGCAGCAGCAGAATGGACATGCTTCCCCCCCCCCCCTAAAAGTACGGCCAAAAAGACTATTATCCTCCTTAAATTGTGTTTGGACAGTCTTGTGTGATAAAATCCTAGGTCTTGATGGCTGGGGAAATGTATGATATTATTTGATTTCACTGAAAAATGACTTACATATAAAAAAGAGGTTTCAAATGCATAATCTAATTCCAGCAGCTTGTAGCTTTGCTGCACCTGCCAGATGGGAGGAAGACTTTCAAGGCTGCTGGTATTAGTATGAGAAGAGCAAGACTGCAAGTTCAGCACACATGGGAAAAGATCATGGCTTGAGTTCATTCACCTGTTCTTTCTCAGTGCATAGACATCAGATTTCCATCTAAACCAGGAGTCAAGGGCTAGTGATGAAGACATATTTTTTGTTCCATATTTGGATAAAGAAATGAAGATTCTGGTGGAAAAATGGGGGATTTTTAAGAGCAAAACATAGCCTTTATATGCTGTAATTTTTCTTGTCAGGATATTTTGTAGATGGGTTTAAAGTGGCTTTTCAAAGTGTAATAACCAGTTACACTGCCAAAAATCCCCTAAACCAGGGATTCTCCACATTTTTTTTATCTTCCAGATGTTTTGAATTTCTACCCCCAGAATTCCTGATTATTTGTCAAGCTGCCCAGGACATCTGCAGGACCAGAGATTGAGAATCATAGATTGACAGAGCTGGGAGGCTCCCCACAGTCCATCAAGTTCAAATCCTGCTCAATACAGGAAATGCAGCTAAAGTTTTCTGGTATCCAGGATACAAAAGTAATGAAATTAGATCCCCCCCCCCTTCCCAGGCACTAGCTTCCCAGACGTGGTGACCCTGTGTATAGAAGGGGAAGAAACTGGTGTAGTTGCTTCTTGTACATTTCCTACCAAATAATTTCTTCTTCTGCACAATTATTAAAGATAAATTGACCCTGTTTTCTCAGTTTGAGGTGCAGGTTATTACCTATAAAGCCCTATAAGCTTCAGGTCCAACCTATCTTCGAGACTGCATCTCTTTCTATGAACCTGCACTGTAGACTCTTCCCTTCCTCCAGAGGCAACCTGAGCCTTGAATAAATTTACCCAGAACTAAGTCCACAGACCAAGGGCTTTTGTTACTATCAAAACAGTTTTGGGGACAAGATTTATTATTTGGCATTGCCGTCCCAGGAGACCAGGGTTCGAATCCCCACTCAGCCTTGAAAACCCACCAGGTGATCTTGGATACGCCACATTCTTTCAGCCTCAGAAGGAAGTCATGGCATCCCTCGCTCTGGAAACATCTTTCCAAGAAAAATACATGCTAGGCTTGCTTTAGGGTCACTGTAAGTTGGAAATGACTAAAAAGCAAACAACAACAAAGCTAAGAAAGTGTGGCTTGCCCAAGTTTACCCACTGGGTTTCCAAGGCTGAGCGGGAATTTAGCTCCAGTCTCCCAAAGTCCTAGTTCAACTTTCAAACAGCTACTGGCTTGGTGTCTAGAAACAGAAGAGAATAGATCAGATGTCATTGGCTAAGCAGAGCATCTAGAATGACAATGTAGCAGTGCCACAATATTTTGGCATACAATACAGTGCTTAACTGATTCCAATGAAAGAATGTTGTGAATTGTGCTGATGTTGGTGGGTACCTAGGAGATGCCTGCAAAACTTTCAATTCTCTCCCACTTTATCTTCTGGAAGTAAAATTAGCCTTAGAAGTTGATCGGAAATAAATAGCAAAAATCATATAGCCACCTCTGAAATACCATATACAGTAGTAGTCATCTCCCATTTTGAAAAGGACATCACAGTGCTGGAAGAGACTGAAAAAGGCAGCTAAAGCAACTGGGGTTAGAGAGCTTTTTCCATTCAGAAAAGCTAAAGAGTTTGGGGTTTTTTTGGCCATAGATTTTTTTCAAATTATTAATGGTATATTCATGCTGCTTCTTGGTTATGGTCAATACATCAATAAATATGTGTGATATGAAGTAAACGAATTACAGATCAGTTTCATTAGACTCTGAAATTGCTGCCATAAATGATCATTATCTGTTTTTTAAGAGAGGTAGGAATATTAAATATTTCAATCATAATATTGAATTTTAAAAGAAACCAAAAACTACTTTGAACCTGACTGGAGAAAATACCTAGGGATTTCTAAAAGAGTGATGTGTCAGAATGGTAATGCACCCTTTAGCAAGGGTCAATAACACTGGTGTTAGTGATCCATGCAAAATTGCTCTTGTGCTGTAAAATGTAACTTCCTCATTACATGGTGGGTGGAAGAATATGATGCCTTTTGTGTGGATAATGTGAATGAAGAAAGCTTTATAAAGCAGGAGTGTTAAGCCCCTGGACCAAGCTGAGTTCAGCCTCTTTCCATAATCACATCAACAAAGAAGACACCATGGCCTTCTCTGGCAAATATGAAGTGGAAAGCGAAGAAAACTATGATAGTTTTATGCAACGCATTGGTATGTATAAATGCAATCGTTGATCACTTAGACAGTTTTCTGAGATGGATAAGGAGCGCTCTTGCCCTTTTGGTTTCAGGGAGGAAAGGTTCAAATTGGGGATTGTGATATCGTTAACTACTGATCTTTGGAAGATCATGTAAGAATCAGTCCATCCAAGCAGATGAGAAATTCTGATTGGCAGTTTTGTGAGTCAAAAGCCTGTCCTCTTCTCACCGTTAGGCTCTCTTTTATGTCTGATCATTTCTTAAGATACAATTATGAGATAGTTATCTCCTGTATAGGTAAGAATCTTCATGTCTGTATATGTTTAAAACTGTTCACACATTATAAAAATAATTTTGCCACCATTTCTTATAACCCAAATGTCTATCTATCTTAAGAGCAGTTGTGTGTATGCACACACACACACACATACAGAATATGTATGTGTATATGTGTGTGTGTGTGTGTGTGTGTGTAAATTATGAACAAGATAGGTTCTGTAGGTTTGTTCTTAAATCAGAGTGGGTACATATGACTGCATGGAGTGCAATTAGCTTCCCACCAAAGCGGTACCTATTGATCTACTCACATTTGTATGTTTTCAAACTGCTAGATTGGCAGAAGCTGGGGCAAACAGCAGAAGCTCATCCCACTCCCTGGATTCGAACTGCTGACCCTTTGATCAGCAAGTTAAGCAGCTCAGTGATTTAACCTGCTGCACCACTGGGGGCTCCTGTGTACATATACAGTATACATATATATGGGGTATATTTTAAGTATAGGGGTATACCCCATCATGAGATTTTCTTGTCATGATTTGTTCAGAGGGAGGTTGCTGATGCTTTCTGAGGTTGAGAGCATGATGTTTTCACCCATCACGTCACACTATTCTGAAACTAAAGGGGAAATTTCTTTTCACTTATAACCCCTACCCCTTCTACATTGTTCTTTATCCCAGGATCCAATTCCAGATTATCTGCTTTGAACTGGATTATATGAGTCTACACTGCCAAATAATCTGGGGTAAACAGATAATCTGGCATCAGATCTTGGGATATAGGGCAGTCTAGATCCAGCCTCAGGCATATAGCTACAGCATAGGACTGAGGACATTGCCTTCCCTTCAAAAGTTCTGCTCTCCTCGTGAAATTTAGCTTCACTTCCCAATTTGCAGAGGCAGAGACTGAAAATAATTCACTCACAAAATTCCATGTTGACATTCCTTTGGTCACTTCCTCTTTTCTTTGGAAGCCCAAATTGTGTTTCTAAATGCTCAATGGAAGATTTTAGTTAATGCAATGCTAGGCATCAGGGGATTAACAGAAAAATTCATTTGAGGTCAGATTTTTTTGTTTGGGATGGGGCCAACACCTTCATTTTGCCCACCCCGTAGTATATCTTTCTCCTGTCCTTGTGGGGGAAGGGACAGTTACCCAGTGTCACAACTTCTACAGATATTTGGGAAGCAACCAAACAGATCAACCACTGATGAAAATCAAATTTGTATTTCCACTGAATTAGGGATTCCTGCTGATACAATTGAAAAAGGAAGGAATTTCAAGATTGTGACTGAAGTGATGCAGAATGGAGATGAATTCATCTGGTCCCAGATTTACCCAGGAGGGAAGTCTATGACTAATAAATTTGTCATTGGCAAAGAGTCTGAAATTGAGACCCTGGGTGGAAAAAAATTCAAGGTAAATGAATGGCTACATGTGAATGCCACTTTCAAAAATTGGACAAGGACTGAAATCATTATTTTACATGTTCCTGAAAGTATGACTATTGGGATTTTTGATACCCCATCCTCTGTTTTGAACATTGCTCACTCCCATGCTATGTCATAAACTGTTAATGTAACTCATTTTCAAAAGCAGCTTGCTGTGTATAATATAGAAGGATGGGCTTACTCATATCCACAGATGCTACGTCCATATATTTAACCATCTATTGCTTGACATTTTTTTTAAATTCAAAAAGCGAACCTTAATTCTGTCATTTTAAATAACTTTTACCATGCACCAATGGTCCTGGAACCAAATCCCAATGGACACCAATGCCCATGAATACAAGATCCTAGCCTTAGTCTCTGTTTTATAGGTTTGTGTTTTCTTTTCCTGTTCTGCATCCCATAATTATAGTGGATGCTGTTCTTTGAGTAATAATTCTGGAGTTCATTTGCATCTTTTTTTCATCACAACACCTGGTGGCCTTTAGTCTGATATTTAATCTTACTTACTACAGTTTAATACTATAGACTTGTAGTGAAGAACATGGGAAATGCTCCATGTTGAGTGGTCTGACAATTAAGCAAATACGATAACTATATGGCACCACGTTGGATCTAGGCTTAGACATACCTATAACAGATTTACTGGAATTGATAGCTAACTTGAATCCCCTTAGTTACAGTGGATCTGGTTTAAGTACAATTAAATCTGAAACCAACCCATCATTAATCTACATGTGATTTTTCTTATTATAAAGGGAAGACAAGTAAAAGGGTCTCTTTTGTGACAGTGAAAAATACTGCATGTGTAAAGAATGCTTATGCTGTGTTGTCAAGGCTTTCATGGCCGGAATCACTGGGTTGTTGTGAGTTTTCCAGTCTGTATGGCCATGTTCCAGAAGCATTCTCTCCTGACGTTTCACTTGCATCTATGGCAGGCATCCTCAGATGCTAATTATTTCATTAAAAGAGGTTAGATCTGCTAGATAATGAAAGCCAGTTTCATGGGAAAATTGGAGGACATTCTGAGGTGCTAAGTTACCCTCAGTTTTTTAATTTGTAAAAAATCATTTATTTAGAGGTCTCTCACAATTTGAATCTACAAACTGTACCTTATTTAAAGGGTTCATAGCACTAACTCCTGGTAGGAAGCCCTATTTATTAGGGCAAATGAAGCAACAGGATGGCAGTAGCCCTTTGGCTGTTCTCTTATTTTGGAGGGCATTGTTTTATCTTTTACAAAAGTGCTGAAAGTAAAATTCAACTGTAACTCTAGTCCAATGGTTACCAACCTGTGATCTGTGGGCCACCAGTGGTCTGCAAGAACGAAAATATGGTCTGACATCTCACCATTACACCGTTGCCTTACTTAAACCATTTCGCGAAACCATCTTATAGTGCCGAGGCAACAGGGATGTCGGGAGGGGAGATACTGACTACTCATGAAAAATACTAACACCACATCACTCTAGATTTTTAAATATGGTTTTCTGTGGGCAAGTAAATGGCGACTACTGGATGACATATGTGCTATATCAGAAACTAGAGCTGATGTGGTGTATCCAATGCAATTTTCTGAATCAGCACCCCAAACAACCAAACCGAATCTAAAGATGACAAAAACTGATTTGTAACCCTTTTGCTACTGATGCTGGAGAGTGGTCCCTGTTCAAAATGATTCCTGTTCAAGTGGTCCCTGGTCAAAAAAAGTTGGAAACTACTGTTCTAGTCAGTGGAATAGGAAGCTTTCTGGTCTTTCTTCTCAGGCAAGATAATGTTTTGAGTCCACCTGGCTCTGAATGTACAACGCACACAAATCTTTGTACCACAGAGAATAGGGTTCTTTGCATAGTGTAGGCAGTACTGTGTCCAAAGTTGCTGTGGAAGTGACTTGGGCATCCCTTATGTTTTGCTTATGACAGAACAGATGAGAAGTAACATACTTGTCTTCCAGGATGACAACATTTTGAAACTGTAATGCAAAGCTTTATTTTAATATTATTTACTACGGGCTAATATTAGAGCCTTGTAGTGAAGAATGGTGCTACTCCAAATAGTAGTCCTACAGACTGATGTTGTTCCATGAAACATAGGCAGGTTCTCTATAAACTGGGCAAATATGAAAACAATATGACATTTTAGATGCCAGTTTCTTCCATACTGGGAAAAAGTTGCTCATCTGCCAGACTGGACAGCTTCAGAAGTTCTGATGAAGACAATGCTCTTTTCTTTTCCATTTTTGTGAACTATTGAGCATGGAAAGTTATTGTTTTGGAAAACAAACTCTAAAACCCACCAGCCATCACTGCCACTAAATGTTGTTTCAACAAAGGCTCTGTTGAAATTTTCCTCACAGTTATATGGTGCTAAAAAGATTGGAATTTGGTCAAGCAGGATTTTGAATCCACTTTTTTAAATCTGAGAAGACGGGCCAGGGCATGATACAAACACTTTATGTAAACGTTATCCTTATTTTGCTTCCACCAGTATGACAACTAAGCAACCTGTGTCATTCTCTTGCAGGCAACCGTTAAAATGGAAGGTGGAAAAGTGGTTGCTGACTTCCCTAATTATCACCACACTGCAGAGATTGCTGGGGGCAAACTTGTAGAGGTAATTCCCTGAAAACGTTCCTTGGGAGGGAGAATGTTTCTACTATTCTCACTACCTCTGTTTTAAACCCATCCAGCCCTCTCTTCATTTATATCCTACCTTTCCCTCCGATTGGGACTCAAGATGATCTACAAAAGACAGCCAATTAGATAAAAACATACAAAATATGATATTAAAACAGGAATAAACAAACAACAGAACTGAAATCATGCAAAATATTACTTTCAAACAAACAATAAAGCAGCACAGAAGCATTAAAAAATCAATCAGTTCTCAAAGGTTTATTGCTACCAGAAAACATGACAAAATAGGAGCCAACCTAAGCTCTTTAGGAAGGGAGCTCCAAATCTGAGTTCCCACTAGAAGTGCCTTTGAACGTTTAATTATTTTGTTCTCCGGTGTCTTTTAGAGGCTTTCAAGCCATTTTCTTCTATAAAAACAGTTTTACTGGACCTGAAATGATCCAGAGGAAGAAAAAAACTATTGAGAAATTGATCCCACATTACCTGGAAAGGATCCTCTAAGTTCTTCTGGGAAGTCAGTGTGGCCCCCCTAACTTCTCACACTTGCCCACCCCCTGCTGTAAGGCAAAATCTGAACATTTAAAGAGCGGAAATATGAAATCTTGGCCCTTTTCTCCAAAGAGGGGTTGAGAGGCTTTGACAGTTCGGAAAAAAGAGCCTTTGTGTTGGGGCACCTGGCTGACAATCCACTGGCTGCAAGATTCCCACCTCCACTTTAGGGGCGTAGTACAGCATGACAGCTACCTTAAACAGATGTAGAGAAAACTGGTTAATTCAACTATGAATGGCTATATATTTGACTCCAATCACCAAGGTCCAACATAATTTCTTTTGTGCTCTTTGTTGCAGATTTCTACAGTTGGTGATGTAACTTTCAAGAGAGTCAGCAAGAAGCTGGCATAAGAAGATACAGTGGTCAAGAGATAACTCAATCTTTAGGCGTACAGGAAAATGCAAAATAAAAAGTGACATAAAGTACCTAATTTAAAAACCTTTGTCTAGTTTTTTAAATTCCCTTTGCAACCTAATGAGATAAAAAGGTTTATTTACTCACATGTCATTTCTTATCCTCAGCTATTCCTATTTCACCTTGCAGGAATCCTTAGATATTCACACAGTGATAGAAAAGCAATACATCTCTGAAGGACAGTCTTTTGGGGAAAATACAGAAGGAAGAAGTTATAACACAGGAAGTTGCCTTATACTGAATCAGGAATTGGCCCATTCAGCCCAGTATTGTCAACTGATTGATAGCAGTCAGGGTTTGAGGCAGGATGTTCCCAGAAACCCTATTGGGAGATCTCTGGTAACACTGTAAAAATGATTCACATTACTACTTAAGTATGGCACACATAAAAGGATGACTATATTAAACCATCTTTCCCTTTCAATCTGCTTGTATATATCGCAGGCCCAACTTTGATTTCTCTCCTTTGCAATCGAGACCAAACGTCTTTGGTGTGTTTTCCAGATTCAGTCCTATGTAAAATAAAACATTAGATCTGCTATTTAGAGGGAAGCAGCATATTAAAAGCTGAACAATTGTTGTTACTATAGATCCAACCTATCTAAAACTATTTTTCACTTAGGTAAAGCTAAAGGTTTTCCTCTGACATTAAGTCCAGACGTGTCCAACTCTGGTGGTTGGTGCTCATCTCCATTTCTAAGCCGAAGAGCCAGCATTGTCCATAGACACCTCCAAGGTCATTTTACTGGCATGACTGCATGGAGAGCTGTTACCTTCCAGCCGAAGCAGTACCTATTGATCGACTCACATTTGCATGTTTTTGAACTGCTAGGTTGGCAGAAGCTGGGGCAAACAGCAGGAGCTCATGTTGTCTCCGGATTCAAACCTGCAACCTTTTGATTAGCAAGTTCAGCAGCTCAGTGGTTTAACCCACTGTGCCACCAGAGGCTCCATTAAGGTGCTTTTTGGTTGGAGTATGTTTCACTTACTCCAACTAAAAGCACCTTAGACATAAAGCAGAAAGTTTGTATACATGGAAAAATTATTGTGTTGGTCAGTCATTGTATTGCATGTCATTTGGGTATGAGTGTTGCTTTAGAGCAGTGGTTCCCAACCTGTGGTCCATGGACCACCGGTGGTTCACAAGAACTAAAATATGGTCCATGGCCTCACCGTTACTACACCATTGCAATGAGCAACTGGTCTCACAAAACCCTCTTATAGTGCCGAGGCTTATTAATTATGGTTTTCCCTGGGTGAGCAGATGGCGACTACTGGATGGCAGAAACTAGAGCTGATGTGGTCTATCCAATGCAATTTTCTGAATCCACACTCCAAATAACCAAGCCGAATCTAAAGTTGAACAAATCCTGATTTGTAACCGCTTTGGTACTAATGTTGGAGAGTGGTCCCTGGACAGGGGCGGCTCATCCATTACGCGAAGTAAGCGGTCGCAGAACACTTTTTTTTGCCAGGGGCGCAGAGGCGCCTCTGTAAATGCCCCTCGACTGCCACTTGAGGAGCGCCCCCTCAGCTCACAACAGCCCTAGCAGTCCGGGGGGAGCCTCGGCTTTCTTGCCTCGCTGCCGGGCGATCTTCTTCCCAAAGGGGCCGGGCCCTTGAGCCTCGCCTAGCCCCTCTCGTTCCTGCTCCACCCGGCCACCGGGTGCGAGCAGAGCCGGCGCTCAATCGTTCTCCGCGTTCGATCCCTTCCCCATGACTGGCTCCCTTTCCCGATCCCCCGGCGCTCCACCCGCCTCCTCTCCTCTCCCCAATCTGCGGGTGGTCCAAGGGGCGGAGCTGCCACGCCTGGCCCGCTTCGGGTCCAGAGGCATGTCTGAAGACCCCAGCGTGCGCACCAAAAGTCGCCTCTTCTCCTGACTTTCTCTTCAGCCATTGGGACCAAGAGAGAGAGAGCCCCTCCGGCTGGAGGTATCTCCCACCTCTGCCTACCTTCAGGAAAGGTGGGCATCTCCACCTCTCTCTCTCTCTCTTGGTCCCAATGGCTGAGGAGAAAGTCAGGAGAAGAGGTGACTTTTGGTGCACACGCCGGGGTCTTCAGGCATGCCTCCGGACCCAAAGTGGGCCAGGCAAGGGAGCAAGTGCGGCAAGTGTAGTTACTGGGATGTATAGTTCACCTACAATCAAAGAGCATTCTGAACTCCACCAATGATGGAATTGAACCAAATATGGCACACAGAACTCCCACGACGAACAGAAAATATATATCAATGATTGGTTGGGGGGGGGAATCCAAAATACTGTTTGCTTACCGTTGAAAATTACCTCAGAATATAGTTATTATGAAACCAGTACTGGGTCTGTGTGTCTGGAGGCTTGTAAGCAGAGACGAGATGGCCATCTGTTTGGAAGGTTTCGATTGTGACTTCCTGCCTGGACTGGATGGCCTTTGGGTGCCCCTTCCAACTTGAGGATTCCTTGTGATACCCTGCTGCAGTGAAAGCATCCAGCAGCGACAGAAACATGCTCACCCTTTTTCCGTGCCACTGTCCTTGATGCTGGAAAGGACTCTAAAGCCCATGTCTCTGGCAGCAGGGGAGGCGGAGGCTGCCAACCCGCTTGCCGGCCGCAATCT